GCATATTTCTACAAATTCCATTGAACTTGAACGTATGGTTCATAAAATAATGTTATTAAGCTCTGCTAATGCAGATAAGCTTTCTTTCAACACATGGTTTAGCCATAGTTACCAAATCTTGGTTGAGGCAACCACGATTTGGTTTGAGAGTGGAATATATTCATGCTTGTGAGCCACCCCTAAAGAATGCTGAGCGCTCTCTGAGCACATATGTGTTTCACATACGAAGAGCTGAGCAACGCACACAGTCCCACTTATTGAATCGTTTGAATGTGCTAGTATGCCGACCATTGCATTGTGCGTGGAAATCATTGTTCCGCTACCGCAGTTCGTATATGGGTGAAACACGCATGTGATCCCAGAGCTATGGTATGTCGATCGCTGCGCTAGGTAGAGAAAGAAAAGTGTGTGCTATGACATGCACAGAATTGTTTGTATCAGTTTTTCTATCACCGCGAGTTGTTTCGGTGCGCGCATAGTTATTTAAAAATATAACGTTTGATGCCAACCGAGGTTTTTCAGTGGATATATAATTCATGTGAATTATAATTTGAAAGTGTCTATTTAGCCAAGGAAAAAGCAAAGCAGTATACTTCCAGCAGACATTGACCTGGGTTTTCGCACGACTGTTCCTGTATCATCGTTGTTTTTTAGGAAATTCTTACCACCATATACATACATATGTATTATTTACTTTAGTAACTAACTTATGTAAATATGTACGTATTTTTTATGCTTAATATGTATATGCAAATAAAAGAAGAAAGTAAACACAACAAACATCGAGTAAATTTTTATTTGTGTCAAACTGAAACTTTTTTTCCAATAATAAACGGTTAGCTGATTCAAGTCTACAGCAAGTTCACAAAATTAATTGAAAACTTGTATCAACCAAAACATTGTTTATATTTGCTCAACAATGACTTTATTCAACTAACAATATTGTCCAATCAAGGTAGTCGTTTTGTAATTATTAACAAATATACATTTGTCCCAACTAGAAGTCTTAAGTAAATTGCAGACTTTCGTGAACTATATATTTATTTCGCCATATCCAACTATGCCACTTGATCACTATAACCAAATCTTGGTTATTATAACTAAACCTTTTTCTGGGTGCAGTATCATTGTAATTCTTAGATGGCCGCCGCCACAAAATGGTCACGAAATGAGGGATTACATATTTTTTCACAACCCTCTCAATATGGCCATCCAATGAAAGGGCTTAATGTAGAGAAAAAGTTCCAAATCCAACATGGCGAAAGATTTTGATAAGTGGAACACAGAGGATTTTAGAAAAAACAAGTAAGAAAGTCTAAGTTCGGGCGGAGCCGAACATTAAATACCCGGCGCAAGGATTAAATATATGTTTTTTACCTTTCCGAAAGCTACCGCTACATGGTAAACCGGGGTGTACCAATTTTGAGTAAATTAGCGTCCTTAAATTTATAAAAATATTGAAGTTTCAAGCATTTCTGAAATTTACTGTTATATGAAAAGCGGCCGTAATTTTAGTTCGATTTCAATAATTTTCAACGTTTTGCTTCTATGTGGCAAGCACAATAACAACACCGAGTTTGGTACAAATCGGTAGAACGGTTACCGAGATACATATATGTGATCATAAGTGGGCGGTGTCACGCCCATTTTTCAAAATTTTATCCTAAACGTATTTCTTGGTAAAGAGTTGTTGCACACATCAATTTTGAATAAATTAGCTTATATAATTACTGATTTATCGAAAATTTCGTATTTCTCTAAATTATTGTTATATGGGATGTGGGCGTGGTTATTGTCCGATTTTAAAAATTTTCGGTCATTTCGTGTGTTATACCAAGGTTAACAACTGTGCCAAGTTTGGAAGAAATTGGTGCAGCGGTTACCAAGATATACACATGTAACCATAAGTGGGCGTGGCTACGCCCATTTTCCAAAAATTTATAATATTATTATTTTTCGTCTAAAACTTATTGTAAATATCAATTTTGAGTGAATAATCTTCAGTAGTTTCTAAAATATCGCAGTTTTCGTATTTCTGAAAATTACCGTTATATGGGAGGTGGGCGTGGTTATTGTCCGATTTTGCCCATTTTCAATACCATCCGTCCTACGCCAGAAATAAGTGCACGTACCAAGTTTCGTTAAGATATCTCAATTTTTACTCGAG